CGGCCGTCTGGAGAGAGCAGTGAAGCAAAGACGACGGATGCCAGCGAAGAAGATAGCTGCCTCCTGGAATCCTCGCCGGCAGGAGCAGCGCAGGAACCCAGACCGGTGATCTGTATTCCCCCATTCCCTCTATCTCCCTCTTTTCCTTTTTTTCTGTTAAGAAATGTAAAGCATATTATATTGCTTGCCACAGCTTGCTCTGTACTTAGCCAATTATCATGTGTTCAATTAGTGCATTGTAGGTAGTTAATAAATGCTTGAACTTGGAGACTTGTTGTCCGCTCCAATTGGGGATTTGCGAATCTGAGTCACTTGTCCCCCTCGCTGGAGCGGGACGTGACACCTTCTGTACAAGTTAGGAACCAGTTTGCTTTATTCCCCTGATCTGCTTTTCCTACACCACAGGAACAGTATACACACAAGCAAAATATACCTTTTCATCTGACTCAAACTGATACACATTTTGAAACATTTTGAGAACTCATGTGAAAAAATTGCTGCTTTAAGGGGTACAAAAATACCCCCAATTTGCAGCAGGAAAACTCTCTGAAACAGTAATAAGCTTTAATTTTACCTCCCATTCAACACAGAAACCAAAGCAGATTCCTTCACCTCACCTACCTTTGACTTATAAATCTATTAAGTAAGGAGTCCTTCCTCATTTATCTGATTAAACAATACACTGTGCTGTTCTCCCATTTTTGACTAGAAGCAAGAGTATTTGCATCAATGTAAGTTAGTAGCTGTTCTCTCCAAACATAAACAAAATCATCACAAAACTTTGCAAAGAGTAAAAACTTTCAGAAATCAGGGCAATATACACCACTTAGCTCATAAATGGAGAGCTGTAGAAATGGTTAACTTCTAATTCTTTAGCTGAATGATGCCTGTGAGCACATTCAGTGCTGTTCCCCTGGAGTTTACAGTATTACAGGACAGCTCAGGCTGGAAAGGACCTCAGCTCTCCAGTCTGACCTCCTGCTCAAACAGGGTCAGCTGTGAGGCCAGGCCAGGCTGCTCAGGGATTTATCCTGTCAAGTCTTGAAAACCTTTGGGACGGAGATAACACAACCACCCTGCGCAACCTGTGGCACTGACTGTCCTTGTGGTGAAAAAGTTTTTCCTTATATCCAGTTTGCATATGTCATTTCAATTTCAGCTTGCTGCCCACCCAGAGCCCTCGCGGGCCTTTTCAGCACGGCTGCAATCCAGTTTGCCAGTCACCTGCACGTTGCAAGGGGTTATTCCTTTCCAGGTGCAGGAATTTACATTTGTCATTGTTGTATTTCATAAGGTCCCTGTTGGCCCGTTCCTCTTGTCCATATAGGTCCCTCTGAGTGGCAGCTCTGCATCAAGTATATTAACCAATTCCCCTAGTTTGCTGTCACCTGCCCACTTAATGAGAGTGCACTTTCACACATCCTTCAGGTCACTGGTAGAGATTTTAAACAGGACAGATCATAGGACAGACCCATGCAGTACTCCAGTTGTTACCAGGCTCCAGGTATAGTATGTATGATAAGTCACAACCTTCTGAGTCTGACCATCCAGCCTTTTTTGTATTTATCTAGTTGTCCATCCCTCCAGCCCATAACATCCTAACATGGATACATGAATACTACGTCTAAAGCCTTGCTGAAGACAAGGTAAGTGACATACTCTGCTCTCCTGTTGCCTACAAATCTAACCATTTTATCACTGAAGGCAAACAGGCTGCTCAGACATGATTTACTATACATAAATCCATGCTTGCCTTCTCCTTCACATAATGAGAAATATTTTCCAAGAGGATCCACTCCATGATTGACTCCAAAGGCCTCAAAGAATTTGTTGGTGAAGAGCGAGGCAAAGAAGGCACTGGGTACTTCAGCCTTATTTGTGTCCATCACCACTAAATTACTGGCTCCATTTAGCAATGATCCAACATTTTTCCTTATTCATATTTTCACTACTAAGGTCACAGCAGAAGCTCTTCTCATTGCTCTTGACATACGCTACAAAGTTGAGCTTTGGCTTTCCTAACACCATCTGCCCGTGCCCAGGCAATGTTTCTAAAGTCCTTCACAGTCTCTCCCTGCTTCCTCCTCCTGTGTGCTGCCTTTTCAAATCACTTGACCACGGGAGGAAACAAGCTAGCAGTAAGTGCTGGATCTCCCTGGAATTCAGCCTTCTCCACTTGCTTCATACTTTTCTTCGAGGGTTTTTTTTGTTTGGTTGGTTTGGTTTTTTTTACACCATGGAACAATCCTCAAAGTTGATCACAGCCTACTCCTAGAGTCTTCACTCCCTCACTGCCAGTGACACCTTCCATACATTTCAGCCATATGAGCAATTTTGTATAAAACTCCACAGTTAATAATTTTGGTACTACTGGACCTGAAGCAGCTGCTTTGCTGAGTTTACCATTTAAATTAAAGCTTGGCATACACTGTCTACTAAAGAAGACAGCAGTCAGACTACTGATGTGCTGTGACAATCATAACAAACACTCAGCACATCTCTGGGTTTCTTTTTTGTATTTACATTGCCATTTCACTTACATTTAGGCTGAATGCTTGCTGGGGCAAGGATCAGGTTTTTACTGTGCTTGCACAATGATATGCTTTGACTGGTTATGAACCAGTATAAAGGTCACAACAGATGGTGCATGTATGTGGTAACACAAACACTAAATGGTAATAAATCTTCTCCTTCTGAGTATCTTTTAGTTGTTCAATATATCTCCTTGCAAATAACGTCCCCAATAAAAGACAACATGGATTCAGTGGTAAAGGTTGACTGAAACAATCAAGTAACAAGGTGAAGCACAATAGAAAAGAATAAAACTGTAAGAGTAAGGGCTCAAAGGCTTTACCAGAAGGCTTTATCAGAAAGGTAGCAAAAAAAAAGACTAAAGGATTGAAAAGGAACATCATTAACGGCAGATGACCACAGGAACGAGATTGCAGAAAGTAGACTTCTGGTACAAAAAGATGGAGAATACTTAGTAAATATTAAAAGTCCACAAAGAGACGCATACTGCGATGTTTAGCAGACGATTTTAGACGCTTCATGCACCCGGGATACTCTATACCACCTGATACTGTAGTTGTCAAGGAGATGGTGACAATATTAGAGCTCAAACTACTGAAAAAAACTTTCGCAAGCGAGGGAAGCAGAGGACTACGGAGCTGACATGCTCTACGCTTTAAGACTGTGCTCAAATGGGTGGCTCAAGGCTCCACAAAGCAGCATCAAGGCAGAGAATAAAGAGTCAGTTATGGACTCGTAGCAATGTCTAAGGAGGGACTAAATAACTAACCCTTCGCCCACAGAAAACCTCCTCCATAATTAATTGTTAGTCCCACGTTCTCAACTTCTTGTGGATCAGCACAGGCTCCGCGGCCCCCGCCTTGTCTTAACAGGAGCATCACAACAGCAGCTTTGTTTCCGCACCACCGAACAGCATTTCCCGTTGATCCTCGCCACGGGCAGAAAGGAAGCCGAAGCAGAGGGACACCACAACCCGCCCCCACGGCCACGGAGGCTGGGCGCCGCGCAAGCCCCTCCCCGGGGACGATTTCCACACCGCGGCGGCACCTGCAG